ATATATACGCTAATTTATCCCTCCCCACCCCTTTCCCCTTTGGTAACCATAAATTTGTTTTCCATGTCTGTGGGTCTATTTCTGCTTTGTAAATAAGTTCATCACACGCTGTTCTGAGGAGCATGGTGACGTTTTGCACTGTCCTGATCCTGCTCTGTCCTGCTGCCCCTGCATCAGCCCTGAGATGCCCATGGTACCCACTCACTGGTACAGGAAAAACGGGAACACAGAGGGCTCGTCACCATTCCTGCTTTCAGCATGCACTCCTCGCTACCACTCCTGCTTTCAGCATCCACTGGAGTGGAGGGGCTTGGGACACACTCCCTGCAGAGCAGGGGGCCCACTGTACATCCTTTTCCTTAAGAAAAGTACATACGAGAGAGGAATACTTAAAGAAGTGCTTCTGTATGGGGTCTTTTTTCTGTGGAAGCTGAAATATATATCTGTGATTTTTTCCAGGAAGGAAAAACAAATCTCTGTCTCTCTCTGTCTCCGTGGTTTTCTGTCTCTTTCTTTCTGTCTCTATGTCATTTCTGTTTCTCTCTCTCACACACACACACACACATATACCCCCCCCAACACACACACACAACACACACGCACACACTCAGGCAGAAAGTTCTCTCTATTGGATTTAAAACTAGATAGAAATTACTTGCCTTATTTAGGGAAATATCTTTGGAGAAAAACACTCTATTTCTCAGCATACAGAAAAGTGTGTGTGTGTATCTTTGTGTGGGTGTATGTCTATGTGTGTGTATCAGGTAAAAATTATTCTCAGGGTCTCCTTCTAGACCGGTTCTCACTGGGCAGAGATGCTGGCTGCCTTGAGAAAACACACATACCACAGAGAAAAACACATAAATTCTCTGTCCCAGGAGAAAACTGTGTGTGTGTGTGTGTGTGTGTGCATGCGCGTGCACACATGCAGATGTGTGTATAGCAGATACACATCTTTCTGGGTCGATTTCTCTCTCCCCACAATGAAGGGGAAAATATGCCCTTTCTTTACAAAGAAAAAGGTACCATTTATGTCTCTCTCACACATAAATGTCTTCCTTTCCCTCACTGAGTCTGTCTTGCTGACAAAACACTCCACTCCTAGGATGCGGGGTAACACGTGTCTACAGGCAGGAGCCAGAAAGGGACCCCCTCTTATTTTCTCCATCTTCTTTCCTCTCCTTTTTTCTTTTTTCCCATTTTTTCTTGTTAAAGATAATTGTCTTTCTCTCTGTTAGTCTCTTTCTGTTTCAGAAAAGTCTCTAAAGGTACACACACACTCACACTAAAAAGCACATATGGAAGGGAAGGCTTCGTCTCATTCTGATAGCAGGAATAAAAGTGCGTGTGTGCGTGCGCACGCGTGCATGTGTGAACGGGTCTATCGACAAAGAGACTTTATCCACGGACTGTCTTCCTACAGGCAGGAAAATCTGTATGTGTCTTCTCTGCAGGCAAAAGAATCTGGAAAACACACACACAAATATACACTCTCTCTCAGTCAAAAAGTTAACTATTCATTGTTAAAACTAGGCAGAAATTACTTATCTTCTTTAGGGATTTATCACCTAAGAAATTAACGCTCATCTCCCAGCTTCTTGAAAAGTACGTATGTGTGTGTGCACAGGCGTGTGTGTGTGCACATGCATGTATTTTAGGCACAAATTATTTTTTCTGAGTCTATCCTGTAGCTAGTTCTCACTGAGCAGAGATACTAGCTCCCTTGAGAAAATATGTACCAGAGAGAAAAAGCATAACATAAATTCTGTCTGGGCAAGAAGAAAACTGTGTGTGTGTGTGTGTGTGTGTGTGCATGTGCACGTGTACATGTGTGTGTGTGCTATGCAGGAACAGAGAGACACAACAGAAGAAATAGAAACCTCTCTCTGTTAGCCCAAGTCTCCCTGCAGATGGGGAGGGCATGTGCCATTTTCCAGGCAGGAAAAAAAACATCACACACACACACACACACACAACCAGACACACACTTACTCTGCAGCAAGGCCTTACTTTGTGCGCCTGGCCCCCCACCCCCTGGAAAAGCCAGCCCTTGCACCCTGAGAAAGTCGTGTGCGTGCTTGTGCCACACAAAATACTGCTGGTATTGGGCAGACTCCCTGCAGGCTCAGAAAGACGTGGATCTGCCAGATAGGAAAACAAAGCAAAACGGAATAAAACAACTGTCTTTTCAACACACACACACACACACACACACAGAGCAAGAAGCAATGCATATGCGAGGGTGCTGGGGATACAAGCACAAAAATGTCTTTCTGTTATTTATCCAGTTCCTGCAAGCAGACCTCTCTCTCTCTCTCACACACACACACACAAACACATACTCACACTTCTCTCTCCTCTCACTAAGCATTGAGCCCCTGACCACTATTTTTTAGCTCATGGAAAATTTTGTGTGTCTGTTTACGAGCAGAAAATGATTTCTCGTGCTCAGAATGCCTGTCCCCAAGGCTGCCCCCACTCTCTTGCACCAGAGAAAAGCTTACTCATTCATTGTACAGAAGCAACATGTGTCTACTGGTTTGTCTCTTCCGCCGAAAGAAAATGTATGTGCCTTTTTCGTGGCAGAAAAATCTATCTTTCTCAACACACACATGTCTCCCCTCCTCTCCCTAAGTTTGCATCACCTGAAAAACCAACATCTTTCTCGGCAATTCTTGATTGGACACTCTTGCTCACTGAGAAGGGTCAAGAGCTCTCTGTCACACACACACATGCACAGAGTCACATGGAGACTCACAGCAGGAAGAACACTGTGTATTTCCACGCACCCATCACCCTCTCTACACACCCACATGCACACGCACTCACATTCAGGCAGAAACGTGCCCCCCACCCACTAAGAGAGCAGCGCTTGAAACTCAAGCCTTTCTTTCTCATGCTTGGCTTACAAAAAAATCGGTCTGCAAATGGAAAATGCCTCCTTCTTCTAGAAGGCTTTCTCGAAAGTACATTATCCCTGGAGACAAGTGACCCCCCAAAGGAAGGGTGCTGGAGAGAAAACTCACACCCTCTCTCACTGCCTTTTTGTATCTGGAAGGTGTGTGTGTGTGTGTGTGTCCACAAAATCACTGTTTTGGGGGTCTGTCTTATTACAACCCCCAAAGTATGTATCTTTTTCCAGAAAGAAAAACTCCGTCTCTGTGTCTGTCTGTCTGTCTCTCTCTCACACACAGAAAGAAGAGAGCTGTGTGTGCACGTGGACATAAGCAGAAAAAGTCTCTCTGAGCTGAGCCAACTCCCTGAAAGCAGAAAAAAAGGATGTTCTTTTTCCACAAAGAAAAAAAATACTCCCAACACACACACACACACACACACACACACAGAAATGTGATTCTCCTCTATGTTTGTATTATCTGGAAAATGAACAGACAAACAAACAAACAAACATTCTGTTTCTCAGCTCACAGAAAATTATATGTGTGCTTGTCTCTAGGCAAAAAAATTTAAAAAAGTCTCTATTTCCACTCTGAAAAGTCACTTTTTAAAAATCACTAGGCAGAAATGCATCCTCCCCCATAAAGACCACAGCAGATAAGAACATACATGTTCAAATTCATAAAATTCTGTGTGTGTGTGTGTGTGTGTGTGTGTGTGTGTGTAGGAGGAAAATTCCTTTATTAGACTGTCTCCTCCTGAGGGCCAAAAAAAAGGCAAGTTTTTCCCATGGAGCAAGAATGTCAGGACACAGTCACACATACACACACTTGGGCAGAAGTTCTTTGTTTTCTCACTAAGTGTGCTCCACCTGAATTCCCAGCACTGTCATTCTCAGTTCACAGAAACATGTGCGTCTCCGGGCAGAAAATGTTCTTTTTTCCCTTCCAGCAAAGTCTCCCCCTAAAGCTTTTCATCATCAGGCCAAAATCACTCCCCTCTCCTCAGGACAGCACAGATAAGCCAGAAAGAGTGCACACTTGGAAAGAAGAAAACTGTATGTTTGTGTTTTCACACGTGTGTGGTTACAAACAAACTCTCTGTACATTTCCTGATTTGGTTGATTTTGTTCAAGCAGAAAAATATACGTGCTGTTTTTCCCAATATATGCAAAAACACTCCTCTCGGTCTCTCTCACACACACACACGCACATGCACACGCACAAGGCCTCCTTGTCGCGGGCTCTAAGCACATGGCCCCCACCCCATCACTCAGGCCGCCCCACCTGAGAAGCAACGCTGTTTCCCAGTTCGCAGAAGATTCTGTGTGTGCGTGTGGGCAGGAGATGCCCCCCTTCTCCTTCCCCCTTTCCCTCCCTCATCCCCTCCTGGAACCGGCTCCTCTGCGGCAGCCAAGAAACACAGGGCGGTAGGAAACACACGTCCTCCCCTCGCCCCAGCCGGCACCACCAGACCGGACCCTCCGGGCTGTGAGCAGGCCCCTGTCTGTCGCTCTGTCTCTCCTGCTCAGGGAAACACGTGTGTGTGTGTGTGTGTGTGTGTGTGTGTGTGTGTGTGTTCTCTGGGAAAAGACCAATCTATCAATTTCTTTCTCTATCTCTCTCACTCTGCAGGAAAAATCATGGCTTGTTACTGTGGACCACCGTGAAAACACCTCCCTGGAGGGCTGGAAACCCCATCACCGGCTCTGTTCTCCCCGCGCCCAGAGTCTGGCTCCGTAGCCTCTGTGAGAAGGGGCTCCTGGCGTCCTTACGGTGGCCATGTCCCTCTGTCTCTCTCTCTCTCTCTCTCTCACACACACACACTCACCCTTTCCCTATGCTGAAAAGTGCATTGGTGTCCCTGTCCAGGCCCCAAGTCTCTGTGGTCCACCCAGCAGCCTGGCCCACCAGTGACCTTGGCACAGGGAAGGGGCAGAAGCGGTGGATCCTTTCTCCCGGGGCCCCCAGCCCTCACTCCCAAGGCCCCTCCTGGGGTCCCCTTCCACCTGAGCCAGGCTGCTCTGTCCCCCCTCCACACCAGCCAGGGTACTCGGTATTCCAGCTGGGCACCTCCCTGTCCCTCCAGGCCCGCCCGGAGGGGACATGGGACCCCTGCCCACCTCCCCGGTGGCACTTCACTGCCCCCCAGCCTGTGCAGGCAGCCTGAGGACGGCGGGATCAGGACGCCCCCAGGCGGGGAGGGCGGGCTGTCCGCCCCAGCAAGCTGGTCCTGGCCCAGCCCCCTCCCCCCGCGGGGTGTCTCTCCCTCCAGCTCCTCTCCCCGGGGGGTCTGCCTCCCGACCCGCCTCATCTGCGCTCCGTCAGGGGGAGGCCTGGAACTCGCGGTGGGCGATACCGCAAGTAGGACCCGTGCTGGGAGCCTGGGCCAGAGGAAGGGGAAAGGGCCGCCAGGAACCCCCCCCCCCCCCCACCCGTCCGCTGGGCTCAGCTGAACCAAGCGGTCCCGGCGCCGCCGCCCCCCACGCACTGCGCTCACTCGCTGCACAACAGTGCGCCCACGCGGCCGCAGACGGAACTGCAGGTGGCGACCGTAAACCTCTCTGCGCAATGTTTTCTTAGAGACTCAGTCCTTTCTAGAAGCTTCCACCAGTCTTTCCTTGTCTTAGAGGCCCTGACTTGGGACCTAGGAAGAGGGGCTTGTTTCCAATCTCCTCTTCTTGAATTTACGGATTTCAGGTGTTGCTCTCTGCTCCTTATTTAATGTATTTGTGCCTGCAACCCCCCCCCCCCCAAATAAATAGAAGATTCCAGGTGGCCCATCCAGGCCATTTCACTGGAGGGAACAGAGAATGAGAACATGGACTTGTTCGACTCTCTGCCCTTTCTCTTGCTGACTAGGGGAAACTGGGCAAGTCACAGGGCCTTTGTGAGCCTCAGTTTCCCCATCTGAAACACACAGCCCTGGAGGAGTTGCTTACAGGGTCACAGGGCTGGGGGAAACCTGGAGACCGTGCCCGGCCACGGGTGGCCTTCCCAGGACAAGATAGTTCCTCCCCGTAGGGGATCCTCTTGTAATTATTAGCTAACACAGCTCCCAGACAGGGGTGCATGAGGTCCCAGGGCCATCGGCCACCCAAAGGGTGGTCGTGGGATGGATGCCTCTGTGCCATTCAAGTGGGGGAGTTCCTTTTGGGGGGTCTGGGCTCCTGGAAGGGGGGCACAGCTTGTAAAGATGTGTGCTCCTGTGGCCCAGAGAAGAAGTTCTAGGCCAAGGGTAACTTCGCCTGATGAACCCCTTGTCTCTAATCAACAAGGATTAGCTCAGCCTTGTAGACAAACTATACAGTATGTCATCCCTGTGAGGTCTTCATCAGGTCACTAATGGACCCATACGGGGTTGGGTCCACTGGGGCTTCTCCATCACTTTCGGGAGGTGAAGCACAGCCGCCATCTTCCTCACTCCCCTCCCCACCATGCTACAACTGGTTAGGCTTACATCATCTTTATCTCCACTCTGGCCATATGTGTTTGTGTGGCTCAACCGCCGCCCCCCCCCCCCCCCCCCCCCCCCGCCGCGTGTCTTATCCCACTTCTCCTTCAAAATCTTCCAGCTTTAGGAGATTAAAGATAAAGTCATTTCTTTGATAGTTGTTTACTGGGGTCCTGCTATCTTTCAGGAACCCTGCCAGCTGCTGGGGATATGGCATAGACAAGGCAAGTCTTAATTTTCTCAAGGATGTCACATTCTAGTGTAGAAGGCAACACCCAAGTAAATCCATAAGTAAACAAGATGATAAAGCCTACAAATGAAGCAAAACAGGATTGAGAGAAATCAGGAGAGGCTTCTTTAAATGTGGGGTTCTGGGAAGGCTTCTCTGAATCATGAGAAGGAGCCGGCCATGTGCAGAATAGCAGTAAGTAGCATTGAGGAGAGGGCTAGTAACTTACTTCTCTCCTCCCAACCCTGTAAGGTCTTACCCATGGCAACCTTCCTGAGTAGCTGCTGAGATGTCTGCTCTGTTCACAGCTGTATCCTCACTGCCCTCTCCTCAAGGAAGCTCATTATTTAGTTAGAAAGCAAGATGTAAACCCAGGAGAAACTCAACAGCACTAACCATATATGTTATTCAAAGCATTAGCAGATAAGACAGCAGACAATTAGGACTGAAGAGGTAAGGACCCTAACCCTACAGCAGGAGGTGGGATTTCAGCCCAACCATAGAGCCTTGCTTTATATTACAGCCTAAATGTCTGAAAAATGGAACAATGTTACTCCATTACAAATTTATTATCTCCCAAATCTGAATGCATTTCTCCACCTCCAACATCTCCAATTATTTTTTCCTACCTGGACCTCAGCAAATGTGACCTCCTGTGTCCACACCTGCTCCCCAGCCCTCACCCCTCCACATTGTCACAGAAGGACCTCAGGGCTACTAATCAGATTCTGTCATTCCCTGCTTGAAATCCACTGGCTTCTCCCAAACTTAAATGAAAATCCCAATCCTTCACCTGATCTTCACCTCCAGTACACGCGGGTCCTGCCTGCTTCCCTGATACCCTCCACCCACTTTTTATCCTCACCCCAGGGTCTTTGCATGTTCTCTTCTCTCTACCTAGAACATCCTTACTGCCCATTAGGAAATGGGGGTCATTTCTCGGGGGTCAACCAGCCCTCAGAGGGGCAGCCAGAGAGGTTCTGAAGGAAACCCCAAAGCAAGAGGTCTTGGAGAGCTAATACCACTATGGTAAACTGTTGGCTATCTGGTCAACTACCCACAGCTAGGCTGACTTATGCATTCACTCATTCAACAAATATCTACTGACAGCTACATGGCATGTCCCATATTTGTTGAATGAGTGAATGCATAAGTCAGCCAACAGTTTACCATGTCAGACTCCCCCTTCTATTGTCTTTCTCTTAGTGGTGTTGGCTCTCCAAGACCTCTTGCTTTGACCCCCATTTCCTAATGGGCATTGCTGGTGTTTTCTCAACATTCTTACATGTTGACCTTGAGATATTGAACTTCCTTACAGTGCGACTGAGGGAGTGGGGCTAGACACACAGTATAGACTGCTGGCTCCAACTTTGAAATAAAATGTTTAAACAGCATGTCTCATGATACTGAAAGCAATAGTCTAAAATGTGTTCTGTAATAGTCATTGATACAAATGTATCATTTCCAAATTACCATGTTTCAGAGTTCACAAGAAAAGAGGATGGTTATGAAACAGCCGCCAATCCCAACATTTCCTGGATGGCCCAGAACAATCGTTCTCACTCCGTTTCACTTGAGAATCACTTTCAAGGAGGAGACTTTTTCAATTTGCCATAAATCCTACAATGTTTATTTTTAGATGTTCCAGTTCCATCATAATTTGCAAATGAGACATGCTTTGAACCCAGGTTGGACTTGGCTGAAACTCCCCAAGAGGAGACTTGATATCATTCAGCTAAAGGGAAACAGAAGTAGAATTTTGGAAAATAACAACCTCCTTATAATGAGTCCTCCCACAGTGTTTGTGCCCTAGTTGTGGACCTTTATGTGCAACATTCACCTGCTGGAAATAAAATCATGTTAACCCTCACACTTTAGTTAGAATAAGATCATTTGTTTCAGCTCTCCACCATGAATCCCTGTGAACCCCCTAAATGAAATCTCCTGAGAGGTGGGCATGGGGTTACTAAAGCCTGAAGATGACTCCAATACTTTGGCCACCTGATGCAAAGAACTGACTCATTGGAAAGGACCCTGATGCTAGGAAAGATAGAAGGCAGGAGGAGAAGGGGACAACAGAGGATGAGATGGTTGGATGGCATCACCGACTCAATGGACATGAATTTGAGTAAACTCTGGGAGTTGGTGATGGACAGGGAAGCCTGGCATGCTGCAGTCCATGGGGCCACAAAGAGTTGTACATGACTGAGCAACTGAACTGAACTGAAGAGGACTTTGGAGGCAAGACACACTCTGGACCATGAGGGCCTTCCAGAATCTTTGCAAAATCCACCCTTGGGGTTCTGGAAAGCCATCCAGTGCAATTGAGGGGTTGGTCCTCACAAGTGAGAACTCCCTGAAGTAGAGACAAGATAGCTACTTAGGAAGCAAAGGCCTTAACTTGGAGTCTTGCCTCTCCTCACTGACCATGTGACCTCGGCCCAATTCTAGGCCCATGGAGTTATCCTGTCTTAAGCTTCCATGTAAATCCAGAGGAATCTTCTTCCTCACAAGGGTGTGAGTAGGACAAACCTTCTTTCTAATCCAAAGCTGTCTGTCCACTGAGAGAGCTGGAGAAAGGGCTTCCTAAAGCAGTGGGAAACTCCTTCCCATCTGATTTTATCTGAAATGAGGGAATTGAGTTGGAAAACTATAGAAAACACTGATCTTACCTCCCTCTCAGAGCCTCGTATCTGGATGTAAGGTTTCTCTGAGGGTATGGCTCCCCCTGGTTGCCACAGCCCAAAAACAACTGAGAAACTTCAGTTACCTTCTCTCCAAAATGGTAAAGGAAGTAAGACAAGTAAAGAAATGAAAGAAAAAGAGAGGAAAGGAGAAAAGAATTGAGTTGACTTGAATCAAGTTGAGTTCACTTAAGCCACAAAATGAGAGAGAGCTTTCCATGAAAGCCAGATTCTTTCTGCCTCTTGTCCAAAATTCAAGTAATTATTGAGTGCTTAATGTGTACCAGGAGCAGTTATTGAGTGTTTACTGTGTACCAGGTGCAATTATTGAGTGCTGACCATGTGCTACATCCCAAGGTTACAAAAGGTAGTGACACCTGGCCTGTGTCCACAGGGAGGTCCCAGGTTCCCATGCAACACCTGTACTCAAGTTACAGAAACAGTTTTCCTTTGCTCCTCTGTTTTTGTCTTCCCTTCTCTTTTCCCCTTTAGTCCCTCCTCCTTTTCCTCAGCTTTGTCTCTGCCTCTCATTTTTTCCTTCTGACCCTTCTTCCTTGTCTCTCTTTGGCCACGATGCACAAGTATGTTTTCATCCATTGAATGCATTGAATTGAGTTGACCTTGTGTTGTGCTAACTCCCTTCAGTTGTGTCCAGCTCCTTGCAACCCCATGAACTGTAGCCCTCCAGGCTCCTCTGCCCATGGGATTCTCCAGACAAGAATACTGGAGTGGGTTGCCATGCCCTGCTCCAGGGGATCTTCCCAACTGGGATCAAGCCCATGTCTCCTGTTTTCCCTGCATTGCAAGTGGATTCTTTACCTGCTGAGCCAACCGGGACATTCTTTAACTTAGAAGTGAGTGATCGTGATGAGCATTAAAACTCTCACTCCATACACAGCATTCATTTGCTTTCTGGAGTATGGAAGTCTTGATGAAAAAAAAATCGTGGTCTGAATTTAGGGATGTGTCCATTGTGCCTTCCATAATAGGACTGAAATTTCCATTGACCATGTTTTTAATGTGAAATATGGAGGCTCAGAAAACCACCTAGGAAAGAAGGATTCTCTGCAGGGATCTTGGGAGAGATCTCTGGTGAGAAAACAATTTAGATTCAGAGAGGTTATGGTGCCCAGACTGTTTACTTCTTGAGTGACTGAATGACATAGAGTGACAGGACCCGGCTAAAGTCTTTGTTGCTTGGAAAAGGTCTGTTAGT